TCTCCACGAGGGAGATGACATTTCGAATGTGATTAATTTTTTATCAAGTCTCTTCTTAAAGCTGTCCATAGAGAGGGCTGTAGTCACCTTTTCAGGGAGAGCATTCCAAGTTGCAACGACTCTTAATGAGAAAACGTGTGTACGAACCTCAGTGTTTGCCGTTTGATGAACGGGTTTTTGCAGATTACCTCGACGGAGTTGGTGGTGATGCATCGGTAAGATGCTCACGTTGGGATGGTGAGGGTTAGGGTGATTAATATGTTGTACGCCATAATCAGATCACCTCTGATCCTTCTCTAACTCAGTGAGAATAATCCCAAGTGCTGGAGTCTATCTTGTTTGTTCTTCAACCCTATTGACCTGTACTCGATCCAAGAGATTTATTTTCTCTTAGGGAGCGGGGTGAGACGATGTTGTGAACCTCACGGCGTGGGCGTGTAAGATCCATTTTTGAAGGTTTTGTTTGTGAAAAGCCCTCCATGTATACATTTGTTCTTATTGATTCTTTCACCTTTACATTTAGTTGGTCTCTTCGATCCCGTTCCAGATTCTAATATTTGTATCTTAATATAGTTTCTATTGCTTTTGCCTCCACTGCATTTGTGTTGTTTTAGCTATAGAATATGAAACACTCTATTACAACACTATATTATTACCTGTAATAGAGCGTAGGCCGCTGACCAGCATATCCCAACCTACTCTGTCCTGAGCCTTCTTTTCTGGTTTCGTCCAGCTGTTGTTCATCCTTCTCATGTCTACCTCTATTTCTTGATTCAGTATGTTCATTGGTCTGCCGCTTTTATTTCAGCCTCGAGGATTCCAAGTTACGGCTTGTCCTTTGACGCAGCTGAGTGATTTCCTTAATTTGTGTCCTATCCACTTCCACAGCTTCTTCCTCCTCTGGAATCTAGTTTAATCTCTCCCTCAGTAGGTTGTTGCTAATGGTGCTTGGCATAGAGGATTCGAAGTAATTTGGGTAGAAAAGTGGTAGTAAACACATGCACCTTACGGATGATGGCCTTCATGGTTATCTAAGTTTCCTCCACATACTGTGTAACTGTGTTGACATTTTTGATTGAAAATACTGACTTTGGTGTTGGCCAACAAATGTTTTGCATTCCAGCTATTCCTCATTTATGAAAATGCTGTCCTTGCTTTTCCGAACCACGCCTCCACATATGCATCAGAACCACTTTGCTCATAGATGATGCTGCCCAAATATACTAGTATAGCTAGTGCGACTCAATTCCGCCTGTAACTACTCAGGACAGACATGATGCGGAATACGGCCACCATTCCTATGTGCCTCATTTGTGACAGCAATAAATATGACTGTGTCGTGGTCACGACTTCCTACTGGTTTGTGAACATGAAGTTTTCCAACTTAGAGCTGGTGACTAGACAGGATAAATTCAAATTTCACAGGTATTCCGTTCTTACCTCATACTTTATCCCTATCTACCTGGAACTACGACATGCTTCTCCAGAGAATCAACAAAGATCTACTACTTTCGATGGTGGTTCTTGGTGCTCAAACCATCATGTTCATGTGGTGTGAGATACCAGATTGACTATGATCACCACTAAATGCTGCATACTAACCCATCACGCATATAAAAAAAATCCATGTTTGAGTATTTTATTGAAGGAGACATTAGGCATTACATGAGGAGCAGAAAGAAAAATGGCAGCAACGCGAAGAGAACGTTGCGCGCAAGTATTGTTTTTGGTACAGTTAAACAAAACGAGTAAAATAATGTTTCTTTTTCACAAATCGTATTTTCTTCGTAAAAGAGTTCCACTAAAATGTCATGCTGAAGTTGATGCTTCCTTGATCTCTTTCCAGTTGTTCTACATAGCGGTTTTCTCTTCATTGAACAGATTGTGAAAGGCCTGGAACTTATTTCCGAGAGCTATCTTGGATTCGTTGAGTTTGCCAATAGACCAACAATTTGTTCACTGCTTCTTTGGTTTCAGTTTCCTCTTGGCCACCACCATGTGGTTATTTGAAGCTACGTCAGCTACTTCTCCTGTTCTCACGGTCTACATGGTCTCCTTGAGCTATTATAGATGCAGATAGGATAGATATGTTTTTCTTAAGTGTGGTCAAGGCTTGTCGATTACAAACTTGACTTTTAAGTCTTTCACCAGACTTTGCTGATTAGTTCTCGATGACTAAAGGTTGATCTTTACCGTCCTCACTGCTGTCGGCCGTAGACGCTTTATCGATCCCAAGTCCACGATATTCCGATCTCATATCTGAAAATTACAGATCCATGGCTCCCCATTAATACAAGGAAAATTCTTCGAAAGAGTTGTTCAACCAAAGTAATGTTTCAGAGGATGCTTAGCGTTGAGATGGGCGTGTTGGATTCCGTACTGAACCATCGTGTATCGACCAAACAGCAACATTCTGAAGGAATTGGGTTCCTGAAAGAATACATTTGCAGTGATTCACAGTTGCTATTTGTGCAAAAGCATTTCACTTTACGAAGTAAGCAGTCATCTGAAATGGGAATATCTGTAATGTCCGAGTTCGATACTCGTTGACCTTCTTCAGTGATCAAACACGTGATTGCAAATAGTCTGTATGACTTTCGAAGACTAGCAGTTGCTACAGATCAATCGTTCAGCTATATATTGAAAGATCTAAAAATAAACAGTAACCATAAATTCGGTGTTACAGTTTAATCTAGAAATTTCAATGGTTTAGACAAAAGCAAGTTAAGTTAAACCAAAACATCTTTGAAATCGATGTGATGCATTGTAAGGTTTCTACGAACGGACGGCTCAAAAACACATTCCCTTCGAGTTAGAGATAGATTTATGCGCTAAGTTTATGGTGTTTTGCCATTGACTGTTCGATTATAAAAATCTTTACACAGATATAACTAAATGAACACCTCCCAACTGTCATGAATCCAATTGTTACGCGTACTTGTTAATTTTTTTTCAAATAAACGCCGGAGATCGGCTAAGCGTTTTTAAATTAAAGCTTATGATAACGAGGGATGGGTTATAAGTTTTTGGTATACTGTGCTAGGTATCGTCAGTTATGTGGATGTTAGATCTGACGCAATCCTCACGTCACAATATTTATATAATGATAATAATATTAATATGTTAAAATCCATGTTAGTAAAGCAAAAGCACAGTCGAAATATTGCTTACCTTGCTAATAGAAATAGGTCCCTCTCAAATTGCAGAAAACAGATAAATCTACCATTTTGTTATAAGACAACTCCAGAAAAGCAAACGGATTGAAAGTTACGCTATTGGAAGAATGAGTCTTCCGGGATTTGAAAGATATCTGTTAGTGTTAAAAATTCCGGAAATTTGGTAGAATTTGGAAATCTAATGCGATGAGATCCTTCTATTCACATGATTCACTTACCGTCATTAAAACGTTGCAAGAAATTATACTCAAAGGAAATATTTTGTTATAGTTTTTAGCTAAAGCAGTTAAACTAGAGCTGGCGCTTGTATTTAAATTTAATTTAAATGATTTAAAATTTACTAAAATGATTCAAACTTTTAATCTCAGTAGAGACAGTTGCTGTGGAATTCGAACACTGCGGTAATAGAACAACACTTAACGTGACTGATGAACATAAAACCTTTTTGAGTTCGTGTTAAATAAATGGTTAAAGAGTTTACAGCTGTGAAAATAAAACATTCAAACAGACAAATAAAACAAAAGTTCATACGGATAGACCTAACATAAGTAGTACTTGACATTGTAAATTTTTTCTCACTAATTGATGAAGATTAGCTTCATACCTACTATCACCTATCTGTATTATCAGCAATGCCTTGATTTCACCGTTAAACAGCGGTTTTGAAAAAGAATTATGTTGATCGTGCGATATTGATGCAAATATGGGTCTTTTTATTCTCTGATATGATTAAATGGTGTAAGGCATAATAATAATTTAGGTTATAATCATTCCGCACTTTTAAGTTTTTAAAGGGATTTGCTTCAGAACAGAAACTATTAGTCGCTTCGGGACATTACATGGGTAAATAATGAGTGGATTATTAAACCCGAGTTGTATCGACATTGTTATATCATGAGATATTTCTAAAAAAATGATACTTATATCCATAAACAGGGTGCTTTAGCTGTAGGTTTTTGCAACACTGTGATGACAACTTTAATTTACATCTACAGTGATGACGAAGTATGAGTAGGTTCACTAAGCAGTGCACAAAACGCTTGATTCATTGAAGTATATTTCGTGAATATTATTAGAAGAATCTGCGATCGAGAAAATAAAGTGAAACTAACAGTTCTATAATAAAAGATACTTCAAAACTGAAGTTTGATCCAATACTAAAAGCGTATGATCAAAACAGAGATCGAGAAAAGCACTAATATATTTGAGTTTTACGATACAATATTTTATTGAAATAAATACTGTCAATTATCAATAAATGGAAAAAATACTACAGTTAATTAGATGCTGCCTATATTATTTTAAAAACATGATTTGAGTAAATACATCGAAATAAGGAAGTAAGAAATATATAGAAACACATTGACGTACATGAAACAACAGTTTTATTCTGATTAAAATGTTCATTAAAGTTATTCAATAATAAACACAGCCATACGTTATTTACAATTACAATTAGAAAGATAGTAGTAAAATACAATGACAACAACATTAGCATTGATAATATTCCTATTATACGGAAAAACATACTTGTTTTAAACCTGAGAATTGAAACCAAGTTACAAGTAGTAAGTACTTTTATTAGCAAAATGCTGCCATAGAATAAGTAATGTCTATAATTAACATATACAACACTGGTTCTGTGTCCAAAAATTGAAAACTCCTACTATTTCAGTGGAAGCTGTAAGTTGAACAACCTAAATTAACAACATAATAGGTATGTGGTCATACAATATAACGCTATATATATATACGGTTATTGTTTTCCGGTATCCAGAAAAATCTGACTATATACAAAGTCACTAGTATTATGTATTTCTTAGGTCACCTCGGATTATTGATCTTTGTTTTGCGTTTGTACACTGGCCCACGTGAAGTCATGTATCGTGTGACACTTAAACGTATACGTTCTTGAAGTTCATTTGAGAAATTTGGCGGTGAAGCGACTGATGATCTTTGTAGTTCCTTTGATACGAATGAATGCGTCAACTGTAAAATGAATTAATTAGTCAAAAAAGTAGATCACGGATATTTGGAGATAAGTAACTGTGAATGTAGTTTAACACACGAGTTTTATGAAACCGAAGACAAAACGTGGATAATCACCGGGATGAATTAGTTTCAAGACAACTGTTTTTATGTCCAAATAACACATAAATATTGTGAAGAGAAAAAAAAACTACGCATGGTATATTACAGTAGTATTCTAAATATGACTTTATTGAAAGTCATTTTTCTTCCACAGTGTGGGCAGTCGTGAGATAACATCCGCTATCATACACATAAAAGCAAAAGAGACCAAAATGGTCACAATCAAATTCTTTCTACACCTCCCAATGTTTCTCTTATCTCCTCGACCAACCTTTCCTTCGATCGTTAGTCACCTCGTGCCTCAGAAAATCAAACGGTTTGAGCCCATGAAACAATATTCCCGGTCTACTGAAACCCCGCTCGAAAATAAGATTACCTCGACCGTATATATGTTGCAACTATGTTCAGATAACCACCTATTCCTAGCAAACACTAACTTTAGGCATAAGGCAAAGCATCTTTTGACCTGACGGATGTCCACTATCACCATTCTTGCTCAATTTCGTCATAGATATGCTGAATTTTCAGGAGTGGACCATATACCAGGAGGCTCGATTGTTGACTTAGAATACGCCGAGGACATAGTTCTATTCTGTGAAGACGCTGATAAAATGCAGTCTTCTGACCACCCTATGCAACAATGCAAGCAAGTTCGGGATGCGGTTCTCCTCCTCGAAATGCAAAATGTTGCTTCAAAATTGGCTTGCGTCGGCACCTGAACTAGTGACAGGGAGTGAAGCAGTTGAGAAGGTTGACCCCTTTACTTTTCTCGGGAGTCTCATCAGTGCCGACGGCATGCTGCCTGACGAAATCTCAGCACGGATACTGAAAGCTCGATTGGCTTTCGCCAACCTGCGTCATCTGTGGTGCACAGCAGTTCGTTTGGATGAGAAACATGGCACGTAAGAGTAGAGGACATCCGTAGGTTACTAGTTTTTAATGATAGATGTCTTCGGAGCATCGCTCGTATATCTCGGGATGACCGAGTAAGAAACAATGTTGTTAGAAGATGAGTGTTAAGTAAGTAAGCAATATACAGAAGGAATGCTCAGAACATTCGTAATCACTGGCTCAAAAATATGGTTTCAAAATTTTCGCTGTTTTGAAAATTCAGTTTTAAGGAACTGAAACACGAGTGTATGAGAGAAGGACTAAGAAACTATGAAATAAATATATACTTTCTGAATCTCACTTACACGAAATGTCATTCACATTTATTACATGTGGTGTTGTGTCTCATATATTTCTCAATATTTTACAGAAGCTAGACATACATAACCTATGATCGATGGTCAGGTGAAGTAAGTAATTTTCAACTTAAAGTTATGGACAGGCAACATACATACGTGTTACTAAGTAACAAAAGAGTAATCCTACCTTTTTTGTTATATGCAAAAAGTCCTCGTTTGAATCTATGCGACCAGTTAAACAATTGGGTAGTCTGTATGGCTTGAGAAGACGTAAAATGTAATTTCCAACCTAAAGAATTCGACAGAAATTTTTATCATCGAGGCAATTTAAAGAAATTATTCGCAGTGATTAACAAACGTACAGAACTAAACATTGATGTAGATTATTTCGAAATTTTAAAAACAAACGGTTACATGAAACGTAATATATCCCTTAAAAAATTATAACGAATTTAACATGCTTGCAGGCTCAGTCAGACAGCTACAACATAGAAATTCGTACGTACGTACATCAGTTCAGGTTGCCAGGCCACATTAGCCTAAATTGTCAACTCAAATCTCATAGTAGTAGAGATAGTAGAAGTATAAGCGGAAATGGTGAAGATTACGGTTCGAATATATTATTCAAGAAGTATAATCGTGTGAAATAACCTTAAAAAGAAAGATAAAGTTGATGAAAAGTTTAGAGGATTAGGATATGAGAGAACAGAAAGAGTGAATGCATCTGCGCCACTGTAAACGATATTAAGCTATGTCGTTCAAGGTCTCTAACCATCGGTTGTCATTTCGCGGACCCCAACCACGCAGTTTACACTGACCACAACGTGACTCCGTCCACTTGATAGCGACTTCATGGATTTGTGCCATGTTTTGGTCCGGACGACCCTAACTTTCTTCCAGCCTACTCCTACACCCTAAAACATCGTTCGACGAGGCAATCAGTGGTTGAGCATTCGTAACACATGTTCCAACCACTCCAACAAATGAATCTTAATTACTTGACATATTGATCTGCTATTCTTATCTAGTACCCGTTTCCTAACAAAGGCACTGCTTACTCGATTTCGTCACACACTAAGTCATCACCACTGACGTGACTAGAAAAAGACAAGTGAAGCGGTCAACACGCTCAAACACTTCACTCTCTATCACTAGTTCAATTGTCAATACAACCCAACCGTGAAGTAACATTTTGCATCTAGAGGAGAATCGCATCTCTAACCCTAACCAGTACATGCTTGCAATGTTGCTCCAGGTAGTCAGAAGAATGTATTCTGTCAGCGTCTTCATCAAATAAAACGACGTTATCGGTATATTCTAACTCAACAAGTGAATCGCTTTGCAGTTTAATTGATTGGGAGTATTTTGACCATGTACATGAAAGAATAAGATAGCATTTACCATTTAACCACAATTACAGTATAAATTTAATGATTAACATTAGTATAAAAATCTGACACCTTTCTGGAAATCTAGCGATACCATCAGAACGAATGAATAGAAGTACTAAAAATTTTAGTTTAAGGTCAATTCAAGTAATTGAGTAAATGTTCAAAAACCTTAGAGAATTATATAGCTAAAATGAATGAATAAGGTTACTGGTTATTGATCGATATGGGGGGATATATAGGAGTAACAATCTAAATTAAAAGGATAATTGACAATTGACTTCATGTGTGAAAACTTACGCGCCTAAATAAGTATAAGATTTGCAGATACTGATAATAAAGTATGACAAAACCTAGTGGTCAACAAACCTCATGAGTAAACTGTCTTTTAATCTGTCCATATTGCTCTTCAGCAAGGGTATTTTTCTGAAAAGCAAAACAAGGGAAATCAGAGATTTACAAAATTCGTAGGATATCACTATTAAACATGATGAAAAGTTTAATCAACTATCACATGAACTGTTTAAGGGTTTTACTCACGTCATCTTTTTCCTTCAAATCTATTAATGGCTTCTCCCATTGAACACTATTGGTTTCTTTGTTATAATAATACAATCGCCCATTCGAATCAGCAGCTGATTTCCAGCCCGTAGGTAGTGAGTTTAAGTCTTCTTCCGCATACCGCTTGAGTTCGTTACATAGGCGTGTAACCTATATCATTTCAATGAAAAGTTTATAAAAATATTTTAGGAACACAAATCTAGATAAAAGCCATTCTAAAGTTTAAAAATGGTTCATAGAATTATTAGATTATGTAGAGGACAAGGTACGATTTGAAAGTTGAAGCTGCACATTTCAAAAAATAAGCACAAAATATAAAAATCTACACAGATAGTGAGAAGGAAGGTAGTACCGTGTATATTCAACTTATTAGAAGCAAATACCTCTAACTGATCGTAAAGGTGAAACACTGATGGACAAATGGGTTAGGAGTAGGAAATTACATGGCGAATAAAACAGGGTTATAAAGTGAATAGTTTTACTGATGTCCGTTTAATGAGGATTTCGTGGTATGATGCTTGAGGACATTTAAGCAAACAGAAGTATACATTGAAAGTTACGAAATCTCTGGATGAAACCACATTAGAGAAAACAATAACAATACAGAAAAAATGTTTTATTAAAACGTCTCTTCTCTAAACACGTTAGTTAAAACATATCAACATAATATCCAGATGGCAATGCCTACATTGAGGTTTACGAAAAATGTTGGATACAATAAAGTGTCAAGATATGTCTTGCAAATAAAAATGAAAACTTTCCAGCAGACTGGATATACAGGAAGTGAGAACAATAGAATAAGATAAACGGAAAGAATATTTACAATAAGAATACAAACATAAAAGACCACGTTTGATCAAAATCGTGTCACTATTCATTAAGAATGCAGCTAAATATCACAAAGTGGTGTTTGATAAAGCCTAAAACAGCAAAGTTACATGCCTTCTAGAAGCGCAACCAGATAACAACGGTTTGTGTAAAGTGTATGCTAAAGCATAGATATAAATCATTTTCACGCTCTTCTTCAGAACGTCCATGATGAAACAGAGGAGGAATGCGAAATGCGACTTTAATTAACATAACTGTTAATTTTAAAAGTTGTTGCACCTCTTTAGTTATCACAATTCATCAACACACCACCCTTTCCTAACAAGTAGTTCCATAGTACAGGCCTAATCAATAGACTAAAGAAATCTTTGATATGGAAAAACAACGATTGCCAGCTTTGAGTGCATGAAGTCCGATTTGACAAGGAACTCAGCAATTGAAATTCATGAGCTTAAGCATATTGTTAACAGAAATAATTTCAAAGATCACTCACCAGATCTGAATCGTTTGAACTTGACATTAAACTCAACATGCGAGGTAAGGCTTGTAATAAAGTAGAAACAACAGGCATGGCTTTCAGTTGTACTCCAGTGTTTGATAAAAGATTTGAAATAGCAGTATCAGTTCGACCGCACTCGCTTAAAAGTGCACAGAGTAGTAACTGAAACAACGAAAAAAACAAATATCAATAACGCAAATATGAAATGATTCAAAGAGCATCGATTCAATATTAGTGGTCTGAGATTTACTGTCGATTAGCATGTTTGGTTAACAGCATAAAATTTCATCACCAGAAATTTTTTGATAAGCATACATACCTTCAACCTAAGAAGTTTATAGCTTTGAAAATTAAGAGTCAATAAATTAACAGACGTGTCACGAAACCATCGTTAGAGATATACAAACTGAACACGAAGAAATTATTTATTATTCCAGAACAATCTTCGAAAACTGATCTATTCACAAGTTTTTAATATATATATATTTATATATTACGAAATGAACATTGAAAAGTTAGAATTACTTTTTGAATTATTATCAGTTAAAATGTTGTTTTATGTTTACTGAGTGGTTAGATTATTATGAGTATTCCGTTTCATATAAGCTTTTCGTAAATCTACTAACTATTATCACACGATTTCCTACTTAAAATTTGTTGCTGGTCTATGACTTACAGCTTACAACCACAGGTTGAAAGTGTAAGATTAACGTATAATAGAACTCAAAAAAATGATAAAATGGATGTGATGGCTATTTCAGGTGTTATATCTGAAATTGATAAAATGTAGAAAAATGGAATTATAAGCAAAGAAATGTAACAAAAAGCAGAGAAATTACCTGACGAAAATGATCTGTGTCTTTTTCATCATTAGATGGATTCGCATGCATAGAATCGTCCGAAGAAGGCACAGAGTTTTCAGATGAACATTGATTTTCACTAGCTTTAACTTGAGCTTCGAAAAGCATACGTCTTTCAGCTTTGGATAAGCATGACAGAGTATTGGATGCTTTTGGACCATTCTGCTCTCGAATAAAAGACGAAGCCAGTTTATCACGCAATCTTCATAAAAAAGGACCAAAATAGACAACTAAGTAAAGTATTGAAGAAAACGAATCAAGATGACAGTATGTTAAAAAGATACTGCTGAAATCACAGAGTATAAAATGAGCAACATACTGAATAATGCCTACTGATCGCAAGTCGAACAAAGAAGTGAATCTCTCTAAATCAATGACAATTCAGGAAAGACTAAATGATATAAAAGCGTGATATCAAGTTTAATGCAACTTAAATGTCCCATCGACTGACTTGACCAATAAAAAGTCGGTATACAGCCACAGCTCTGCAAACTCTTAGGATATATATATATATATATATATATATATATATATATATATATATATATATATATATATATATAATGTAATAAAAGCCGAAAATTATGCAAATGAAAGATGGAAGGTGGTCATTTAGTCCTGTTCCAACTTACGTTTTATTTGGCTGGAATTTACTGCTAGTATTTTGAGTCCAAGATTTACTGAACATTGACTGTTCATCTGGTAAAAAAAACAGTAAAAATTATTGATCGGCAGAAAAATAAAGCTTAGTTGTTAGAGATTTATTATAACCCTGAAGGACAACTTGAGGTAATGAAATCCAGTGACAATTCTCCATAAGCTCTCGTTCAACCAGTAGTGTTCGAGTAAAGAGCCTGTAACTCTCTGGTACTGGTCTGAAACAATACTTGTTTGCTCTCGTGTGCCCTTCAAGAGCTCTAGTTAGACGCCAAAGTATTACTGAAGCCAATATTTCAGAGGCATTATTACTGAGACTGCGGTTGTCACAAGAGGACTATTATCTTTTCTTAGAGCTTGGGACAAACAGTTATTGAGACCAGTGAGATGGGATTAAGTTCAGTTTCGGATTCTAGCTACGATCTCAGTCCATCTGATCGCTAAAACTGGATAAAAACTCTTAAATATCTCAGGTTTCATTAATACTCTGTTCACGCAAGTGACTGGACTAACTTGTCAGTGATATTGACTGGTGATAATGAGTAACCGAAGTATGCCGGAAGGCCAGTTTAACAGATCCGTAGTGTCCTAGCTAACGGAAGAATCTGGTAGATTAACATGAAAAAGAGTTCCTATCCCTTTCACAGATCGTATCAAAATAGAGGGATGACTAATACCATCTTCCCTAAGTCAGAACAGTTGCATACTGTTACCTAGTGCATCTGCATTTTCAATCCTTCTTGTTTTTATTGCCTACCTCTGTTTGCTGACTCCATATGGTATTCGATTAGATAACATTCAGTCCAAACCTCTGCAGCCAGTATCCTGAAATAGTACCAGTAGTTGGACAGCCATCACTACCGGAAAACACATACAAACCTCCGGTTAACTGAATGTTGTTACCACATAATCTGAACAATTTCTTTGGAGACTGGGTCGCCGAACTTCCTCAACTCATCCTGTCATCATCATCACTAAGAGCAACATAGAACCTTGCACAGTTCAAGTTGCCATACCACATTAGCATAGAGACGCAATTGTCAGTTCAAATCCCATAGTAGTAGAGGTAGTAAAAGTATTAGAAGTAATCGGAGAGATTAGGGTTCGAAGATGTTATTCAAGAAGTATAATTCAGTGAGGTAAATATGGAAAGAGAAAGAAAGAGGTGATGAGGAATTCAGGTTAGGACTTGAGAGAACACAAAGAATGCATGCACCTACACCATTGCAAACAATTTTCAGCCATGTCATTCAACGTATCTAACCATCAGTTACTATCGTCTCGCGGGCCCAAACCAGGTAGTCGACACCTACCAACATGACTCAGTTCACTTGTCAGTGACTTCATGGATTTGTACCATGTTTTGGTCTTGCCACCCCTAGCTTTCGTCCAAGCTATTCATATATCGCAAGACACAGCTCGACGAGGCAGTCGGTGGTTAGGCATGCGCAACACATGTCCTAACCACCTCAACTGATGAAGTTTCAATACTTCGTTTATTGACCTACCATCCTCACCTAGAACCCGTTTCCAAACAACACCATTGCTTATTCGGTTGTCCGATGATCCTTGAGCAATGCTTCGAAGACACCTATGATCGAAAACCATTGGCGAAAGCCAATCGAGCTTTCTGTATCCGTGCTGGGATTTCGTCAGTCAGCATGCCGTCGGCACTGATGAGACTCCTGAGATAAGTAAAGGGGTCAACCTGCTCAACTGCTTCACTCCCTATCACAGACAGATACTGCCACAGAACCTAACGATCCACAGAGTAAAATGCTGACTTAAGGTCAAGGAAGACGACTATAGTCGGACGCCTAAATGTGTGTCTGTGTTCCAGGACCTGTCATAGTGTGAATATGTGGTCTATATAGCCACATCCAGGTCTGAAACCAGCCTAGTTTTCTACAGTCTGCTCTTCACGAGCTCTAGTTAAGCGTCTGAGGATTATCGAGGCTAACAATTTAGGAACTATATTAGTTAGACTTATTCCCCTGTGATTGTCGTAAGAAAACTTTTGTCCAGACAATGATTACCTCTTTTTCCTAGTTTGCTCTATCCTAGTGATATTATCTACCCAAATAATTGAACGAGATAACAATGAGTATTGCAACTCATCAGCTAAATGAAGGTGTGTGCATCAAGCTATGTTATTACTGCAACATGTATTTCTAAACAGTTGGTAAAATGCCATTAGAATCTGCTACCTGTTGATTGGAAATGAGTACATGCAATAATGAGGTCCAAAGGTTTTTTTAATTATGTATGCTTCGACCGGCAGTCACGTATTAGTATTACAGAACTGGATTCCCATTTGCTTTGTGGCTAGATCGGAAAATTGCACTTATTGTTACAGGCAGCTTTTAAAACACTTTTTTACATATAATGATTATGTTTTCACCGAGGTATACTTCATACCAGTTTCTAGCACTTAATAATAATCAAGACTCCGAAGTGACTTAAGTAAAGTGTAATCATGGCTCAGATTCTAGTGCGTTTAGTCGGACCACGTACAAGAGACTGTCTACTGAAATCCAGTCTAAGAGAGCTTTAGAGCCCAATGCCATACCTACACTGGCGAGGCCATGGGAAACAGCAGTGGAGTCTCCAGATACACTAAGCGTAGATCGCAACGGTTCTTTATTTTGATAAGGTGAGATCAAATGCATGAATGTACTCGGATCTTGTATGCGCATTTCGGAGACGCAGCATACTCAGTGGCGCAAGATTCTAAAGTCCGAGCTAAGGAAGCCTATTGTCTTATTTAGCATGAGGTCCGAATATTAAAAGCTCCAAGATGTAGTTTAAGGAGACCAGGAATAACGTTTCGTGTACTCAAAACGTTAGCATTAGTCGGGTGAGGTGATAAAGATATAAGAAAAGGGTTAGTCGTGGAGACAATAGAGTTATTAAGAGGTGAAGAGAGGATTTGATTGTGAGCAAGTTGATTTCGTGTACTGTTAAATGTATAAGAGTGGTTGTCACTTCCTGGTTACCCACACCGTGGGAGGGTGTTTCTTGAGGAATCTGAGAAGAATGTTGGGTTAGTGTTGGCCTTAGTGACTTATCGGTCACTTCTTACGGCAAGTTTTTAACATGTTAGCTCCGCTCTTCAAAAAAGGCCCTACCACCGGAACCGGAAGTCCTGGAGGAAAAGGTGTGTAGCGATTTTAGGGTAGACAGTTTCCAGCGCCTTCCTTCTGTTGTGAGAAGGCAGCATCGCTGCAGATGCTGGTTGTTCGAGGGAAACAGCTTGTCACACCCCTCTACAGTCAGCAGTACCACTTCACCTTCAGACCGTAAGTTGCTGCTTCTGTTCTTACTGCTTTCCAGTCGACTTCAATGTCAAGGTAGGACCTGAAGGAACATGTGTTTCAGCCAATAAACCTCGGTTGTGGTTATCACGAGATGTAAGACCGACCACCACTCAAGTAACATTTCATGGGAATCCTTTCAGATTCTCTATGCCAACAGATATCGTTACTGTCATATGAATCTTGAGATAAATGATATTCACACAATTAAAACATGAAGAATTAAAAACAGCAATCTGAATCAGTTACTTATGTTGTGGGTGTACACTGATGAGGCCTACATCAAAACGAAGCAGTTGTCCATTGCTTTTTCGTTTTTAACCATAGTCTAACTAATCTTACACTGAAATAGTTTACGAGTTTAAGTGATCCATGTCAATGGTTTTACTTAACATGTAAACTAAGTTCAGCAACCACTTTTAGTTTTAAATCGTACTGACCTTTGTTTTCTGACCCCCAAGAGATAAGCGAAGAACCAATGGGATTTGATAAATGAAGCATTTTCTCGGTCTCTTGACGTTCTAGTCGAGGTATACGGTAGTTTTCTTTCTATGAAAACGCGTAGAAACATATTGATCGTATTATAATAAAAAACGACAAGTACATAGTAATCAAATATAAAACTGTTATCTAAAGCTTACTGGTAATTTAGACCATTTTCCAAGCACTTCACAAGCCAAAGCCTTGATTTCTACTATCCAATCATCATCAGCCACCTTACCCTTACACAGTTCAGTATCGATGCTTGGTTCGTTAGTTCCAGATGAATATCCGATTTCAATTTCACCAGTATCGTTATCCACAAGAGTTCCAGGGGAAATATCACAATCAGACGTTTGAGTAACAGCGTTACATTCTTCTTCATAAACTGGAAGTGTCGAAGGATTTAACTTGCATGACGAATTCTCCTTCAAAGATGAACTAAACGAATCGGAACTCGATGGCGATGCAGCGAAATCACTATTCTTATCGCCTGTTTGTACGGAAGACGATTCATTGTCTTTGGTACTTTTGGAAACTGAAAGATGAAGAATAGTTATTCGCGATCTTTACTCAGAGTAGCATCAATTTTATCAGCATTACAATACAGATTAAACAAGGCAAACGCACCCCTAACTCCGTTTAAAAACGGTTTATCATTCTAATGTTATAACTCCCAAGATTAATTTTACACTGCCATTGTTGTCCGCTAATCAAAATCAGCATTAGTATACTTCAAATCTTGAAACATGTTCAAATGCTTAAATTTAAATATCAAAATTCGGAGTAGATTCTACTAATTGGAGCCTTAATGGCTGTATTTATGAATACAAGTCTAAAGTACGTGTGTCTACGAAATCAAACAATTTGCAACCTGGACAATTTATCCTGGGTTGATCTGCGGGTTCAAAGGCCGATTTTCAAGTTGGAGGTATTCTGGATCACAAATTGACATATAGTAGCATTTATTCCACCCTATTCATCAATCAGGCGCAATTCGGACAAAATGGATAGACCGACAAGCCGCCAAATTAATTCTAAGGACCAAAAATATAGCTATATTTTCTAGACAGAAATTCTTACGTAACCACAATAGCATTTTGAGTATCTTCGAAATTCTGATAAAAAAGTGAACCAACTTCACTAATATTCGTATTTCATTAAAGGGAATGTTGATTAAGAACATTGTTAGTGAAAGATTATTGGTGTTAAGTTGTTAGTAATCTTTAGCAGCTAGAATCACCATCATTTGAGTATGATATGCGTTGTCATCACATAAATAAACTCAACAGGAAAAATAAGCGATAAGATTTATGCCTGAAGACCATCGAACTGACAAGAATATAGGTAGACATAACATACTTTTAAGAAATGTGGGAAACATGCCGAGCCATTAGTAACTGCCAAGTGTAATGACTAGCTTTCATTGGCTGAGGAAAACTTAAGATATGATCAAGGTATTGAGCACTGTTGTACATTGTGTAGACAACTGTATTAACTGGTTTCTTGCAATTCCTGTGAAGTTGATATTGCTTCGGAACAGAAAAAGGTGGTAAGTCGAAACGAAATATGGCATCCCATTTTTTTAATGTTCAACCGGAAGAGACTAAAAACAATGGATCTAAATACATTATTTACACGTAGATTTAATATGAAAGTGAAATATTTAATGAATAGTTTGTAAAGTTAATAGTACAACATACGTGATTTCGTTTCATCGGAATCGAAATTCGATTCCATCGGGAGTTCATCAGTGGAAAATGTAATCGAAGTAACATTTGGAGCATCTAAAAGCAAAACTTAGTATTTTATTCAACCTTACCTGCCATATGAATATTAACACTCTTCCACGATTCTGGAGGGATACCACGTGGTCGACAATGGTGAGGATTGGAAGTCCACTGTGCCACTATTTCCATGAGGCGTGAATTTGACTGTACCTGTTTTTGTTCGGAAACAGGAATGTGCTTCAAGCAAACTAATATCTAGAAACAGATTTATAAATATATACGAGGTTGTGATTTTGGTAATATACAAAATATATCGAAGGATAGGCAGATAAAATCAAGCAGACAAACATACAAAATTCATATACGTATTGAAGCAAATTTGTTACTCATGAGAATTATGTGGATTGGAAAATAAACACCCCACTGAAAATTACAATAGGTATTCATGAAATCAAATCCATAAAACGAAAACTATTCAAAACAGCAATATGTCAGTATTTACACAACGAGAAAGGTTTTTATATACCTGCTTTTTCAGTTCCCAATCTTTTGGCGCTGCATCAAACATAAAGGCTGCCAACATATCCAGACCATTATACTGTCGAAAGAGTTTAAGACAAGCGTCATTTTCTGTTTTAATAAGACGGTTGAGAAGTTGCAATCGAGTGTACCTTGTAAGGCATTCTTGAACCATGACTTGCAACAGCAGAGTTATATCATCTGCATTTCTGAAAGAATCTAATTGAAGGAGCTGAAGAATGCGTCTTTCGACCTACAGATAAAATGAATTCAGCACACTTTAACTACAGAGAAATCAGTGAAAGTTTAGAGATAATTTAAAATGCAAAGCACCACATGTTAATAACTAAAAATTAATATCGATTTCTTATTTGATATTTACAAAGTAATGCAACTGCACTTTTTGTACGTCCGCTAAGCCAAACTGACAAGAAAATTTTTACTGAATAAGACTGGGATCATTTCGTAATTTAAAAGAAACTTAACTGCCAGTTACGAAATGTTTGCGATAAGAAAAGATGAAAAGAAATCAAATAAATATATCTTGAGAGCGCTAACCAGCCAGGACATACCATTGTAGTGTCTTTCATGCGAACTTTCTCTTGCAAATATTTGCTGGTAGCACCCATTATACCAGAGCAGGAAGGAGTTCCGCAATAACATTTTTGTTCAGAAACCCTGAATTAAAAAAAATTTAGAAAGAGTAAATTAGAGGGTTGAGAAAGTGACAAAAAAGATTTCATCAAAAGCCTATAACTGGATGTTAATAAAATTACCTAAAACAATCATTTAAATTGTGGCAAAAAGGACGAATACGATAATTTGATTACAATACTATTTGTGGAAGTTAAACATCAATTCCAGGCAAACAGCACCAAAATTAGAATTACAAAGCTAATTCCGTGGTTTCCCTAAACACGAAATAGCTAGAAGCCAAAAAACCAAAATGACGTCTAATAAAAATGGATTTCCTTTCGGCAAGTTAAATTTGAGAAAAAGGGATAAACATATAACAACATGGTGGTCAGTCTTACCTCTCGTGATAACCACAACCGAGGTTTATTGGCTGAAACACATGTTCCTTCAGGTCCTACCTTGACAGTGAAGTCGACTGGAAAGCAGTAAGAACAGAAGCAGCAACTTACGGTCTGAAGGTGAAGTGGTACTGCTGACTGTAGAGGGGTGTGATAAGCTGTTTCCCTCGAACAACCAGCATCTGCAGCGTTGCTGCCTTCTCACAACAGAAGGAAGGCGCTGGAAACTGTCTACCCTAAAATCGCTACACACCTTTTCCTCCAGGACTTCCGGTTCCGGTGGTAGGGCCTTTTTTGAAGAGCGGAGCTAACATGTTAAAAACTTGCCGTAAGAAGTGACCGATAAGTCACTAAGGCCAACACTAACCCAACATTCTTCTCAGATTCCTCAAGAAACACCCTCCCACGGTGAGGGTAACCAGGAAGTGACAACTACTCTTATACATTTAACAGTACACGAAATCAACTTGCTCACAATCAAATCCTCTCTTCACCTCTTAATAACTCTATTGTCTCCACGACTAACCCTTTTCTTATATCTTTATCACCTCACCCGACTAATGCTAACGTTTTGAGTACACGAAACGTTATTCCTGGTCTCCTTAAACTACATCTTGGAGCTTTTAATATTCGGACCTCATGCTAAATAAGACAATAGGCTTCCTTAGCTCGGACTTTAGAATCTTGCGCCACTGAGTATGCTGCGTCTCCGAAATGCGCATACAGGATCCGAGTACATTCATGCATTTGATCTCACCTTATCAAAATAAAGAACCGTTGCGATCTACGCTTAGTGTATCTGGAGACTCCACTGCTGTTTCCCATGGCCTCGCCAGTGTAGGTATGGCATTGGGCTCTAAAGCTCTCTTAGACTGGATTTCAGTAGACAGTCTCTTGTACGTGGTCCGACTAAACGCACTAGAATCTGAGCCATGATTACACTTTACTTAAGTCACTTCAGAGTCTTGATTATTATTAAGTGCTAGAAACTGGTATGAAGTATACCTCGGTGAAAACATAATCATTATATGTAAAAAAGTGTTTTAAAAGCTGCCTGTAACAATAAGTGCAATTTTCCGATCTAGCCACAAAGCAAATGGGAATCCAGTTCTGTAATACTAATACGTGACTGCCGGTCGAAGCATACATAATTAAAAAAACCTTTGGACCTCATTATTGCATGTACTCATTTCCAATCAACAGGTAGCAGATTCTAATGGCATTTTACCAACTGTTTAGAAATACATGTTGCAGTAATAACATAGCTTGATGCACACACCTTCATTTAGCTGATGAGTTGCAATACTCATTGTTATCTCGTTCAATTATTTGGGTAGATAATATCACTAGGATAGAGCAAACTAGGAAAAAGAGGTAATCATTGTCTGGACAAAAGTTTTCTTACGACAATCACAGGGGAATAAGTCTAACTAATATAGTTCCTAAATTGTTAGCCTCGATAATCCTCAGACGCTTAACTAGAGCTCGTGAAGAGCAGACTGTAGAAAACTAGGCTGGTTTCAGACCTGGATGTGGCTATATAGACCACATATTCACACTATGACAGGTCCTGGAACACAGACACACATTTAGGCGTCCGACTATAGTCGTCTTCCTTGACCTTAAGTCAGCATTTTACTCTGTGGATCGTTAGGTTCTGTGGCAGTATCTGTCTGTGATAGGGAGTGAAGCAGTTGAGCAGGTTGACCCCTTTACTTATCTCAGGAGTCTCATCAGTGCCGACGGCATGCTGACTGACGAAATCCCAGCACGGATACAGAAAGCTCGATTGGCTTTCGCCAATGGTTTTCGATCATAGGTGTCTTCGAAGCATTGCTCAAGGATCATCGGACAACCGAATAAGCAATGGTGTTGTTTGGAAACGGGTTCTAGGTGAGGATGGTAGGTCAATAAACGAAGTATTGAAACTTCATCAGTTGAGGTGGTTAGGACATGTGTTGCGCATGCCTAACCACCGACTGCCTCGTCGAGCTGTGTCTTGCGATATATGAATAGCTTGGACGAAAGCTAGGGGCGGCAAGACCAAAACATGGTACAAATCCATGAAGTCACTGACAAGTGAACTGAGTCATGTTGGTAGGTGTCGACTACCTGGTTTGGGCCCGCGAGACGATAGTAACTGATGGTTAGATACGTTGAATGACATGGCTGAAAATTGTTTGCAATGGTGTAGGTGCATGCATTCTTTGTGTTCTCTCAAGTCCTAACCTGAATTCCTCATCACCTCTTTCTTTCTCTTTCCATATTTACCTCACTGAATTATACTTCTTGAATAACATCTTCGAACCCTAATCTCTCCGATTACTTCTAATACTTTTACTACCTCTACTACTATGGGATTTGAACTGACAATTGCGTCTCTATGCTAATGTGGTATGGCAACTTGAACTGTGCAAGGTTCTATGTTGCTCTTAGTGATGATGATGACAGGATGAGTTGAGGAAGTTCGGCGACCCAGTCTCCAAAGAAATTGTTCAGATTATGTGGTAACAACATTCAGTTAACCGGAGGTTTGTATGTGTTTTCCGGTAGTGATGGCTGTCCAACTACTGGTACTATTTCAGGATACTGGCTGCAGAGGTTTGGACTGAATGTTATCTAATCGAATACCATATGGAGTCAGCAAACAGAGGTAGGCAATAAAAACAAGAAGGATTGAAAATGCAGATGCACTAGGTAACAGTATGCAACTGTTCTGACTTAGGGAAACTGATAGTATTATCACTGTCAGTATCGAAACATCTTTTCTTAATTTTAAAGAAGCGTATAGCTAATAATCTGCAATTACTTTTTGTCAACTAAAGAATTGTTGGGTTGATGAAATTTAGGGACTTGACAAGCGACAAACCATATGATGTCATTTCGAAAACGCGTACCGAACTGTGATTAAAGGTACTTCAAGTAAGCATTTGCTACAATATAACATCAAAAGTAACCATTGACGGTTAAATCTTTATCGCTTCAAGGGGCAGAGAATAATATCATCTAAGTAAGTATAGATGGAATCCAAAACCCGATGTACTAGTTGAATTTATCGTTTATAACCCTATAAGATACAAATGCGACTTACGTTTCGATACTCAATACAAAAATTCAAACTTTCACAATACAATCACTTAGGAATGTAACTACAAGCTACATATGGGGTGGACAGACCTAACTTAAGGGCATAGACACATGTTTATGAATAATTGGTGCTGCTAAAAGTATTAATGACAAAACTAGTGTTTTCCTTTAAGAGCTACAAGGACTTTACACTCAATGAAACTTGTACGCATAATGTCACATAATTCCAAAGCGTTACATGAAACATACCCATACTGGACAAACTGGTAATCTATGGTTACTTCCTGACCAGGTGGAATATCTTCTTTAGCAAAAAATCCAATGCGTATTTCACCATCTACACTCCACTAGGAAATTAAAAACAAAGATTATAAAGTAGCACAAGTATATGCACTACAACTTATTGTAAAGTACAACTCATAACTAAATTTGAGCATTTGTGAAAGAAAACAGCCCTAAAAGTGTTTCAGAGGTCTGCAGAGCTGTTTAGGCATATTTTGGAAAACTAAAACTATTTGGTATACGAAACATAAAAAATCTGACCACACTATTCTACATTTTCTTTACCACCAGGAAACTAGTTAACAAACAAATCTTATGAAACAATATACGCGATGAGCGATTACTTACCTTTTGTGTAACACAGTTGGGTTCGCATGAGTGATTGACAAATCTAGCCCAGTTGCCTTTACCACCAGCATCGATAAATCTATCAGACTCCACGGCCATAAAGTAGTGGTGAGCATGACCAAGACGTTCGTATCGCCGGATACGTCGACGAAATTCAGAGAAATCGATTACTTCCCCCACATATTCAATCACAAAAGATCCTCTACAAAAAAGATTGCAATGGAGTACCTTATTGTACTGACTTACTTTTTAACGTTATCCGTCGTCATCAGTCCCCACCCTTTGTCTTTACCCGCGTAAAAGGGTTTGGTCGGGGCATAAAGCCTCATCTGAAACTGGCGGTTACTACAAAAATCACCAGCAGCACAATGTGGTCCACACTCGATATTCAGGGCACGGTTAATACAACCTGGACCACAGGAAAGTATGCCTAAGTCAAGTTCCGCAGGAGTAGGAGCGGCGCAATCACAAATCCACTGTCGCATTTCATAGTGTATCGAACTGGCACGTAGTCCAGATGTCCCAAGAAGCTTACCACTTCCCGAGTATGTTGACTTACTAGGAGTCGATGAATGGGTTGAACTCAGAAGACTGTAGTCATTGTTCAACAGGTGAATGTATTGCGGAGTAGGTGCCTCAGGATACGAAGTAAATATGCTGCTCAGATCAACGTCATAACTGCAGAACAGAAACAAAAGAAGGATATTTATGGGAATGTCTGTGCTGAACGAACAATAATAATCAATTCACCACGTCTAGCACATGTCTCCATTTAGTCTTAACATTATATTGAACGATCAACTTATCAGAATATAATAATTACTAAAAAAATTGTAGGAAACGTCGGATTCAAAATGTAGCCACATAAAGAGTCATTTCCACTAGAAATAAAATAAACCGATTTACAAAAAAATAGTGGAAATCTAAAAAGCTGATTTCAGAATGTTAAGATTGATGACAACCAAACCCAAGATAGCAGTTACCAACGAAGCAAGCTAGTCAGTTACGAGAATCTCGATAGAACTAACGAATGAAACTATTTCATTCTCGACAAGTGTAAGAGTTAGAGACTAGCATAAAAAAGCAATCTCCACATGAATTGGATAGCATTTTACTGAAGATTCGGAAAATATCGGATAAATTTTTGATATCATGAGCTTCATCAAAAGATCCAAAGTACAAAAGCAGAAATGCTACTAGCAAAAACAACAAAAGCGGTTTGAGAACAGGTACACCAAAGAACTTAGTGTAATCGTATTCTTGAAAGCGGGGGAATCCGAAGTTAAACACTAGTAAGAGGTTCACGAATGAAAATCGACCGGATTTCGATCGACGAGTACAATTTTTCAATGCGTAACATCTGCTATGAATGGCAAGTTTCACGTACATTTTATTTCTAACCATAAAGAAGAAATTCAACTACAGTAAACTAAACAAACAACAAGTTTTTCCTGAGCAAACATCACGGAAGGCAAATTAATCTGGTTGCTTGAATGACTTTCTATAAGGTGATGAGTACACTACTATGTCTTATGATAAAACAAATAAATGAGCACATGTCGTAAGGTTTGGATTTTGAAAATACCCAGTAGATAAGACAGTAATTATGATAACTGACCTAAAATTATCAAATACCACGAGAAACAGCAACGAATGCTGACAGCCAAAGCTTCATCATAAAGAACTAGGAGTGCTTTGTGAACTATAGATGAGAACGCTCGAAACGGACTAAAGTCTTCGTTGAACCAAACCAAAATAGATTTTTTCAGCGTAAAAGCACTAGACAACTGAGTAGGCAACGTAGATAACTTTCAGAAGCTACTTTAGATTAATATTAACTTTAGAGGATGAGATTTTCTTGCTAAAATAATCAAAATGAGCATCTATAAGTTGCAATTAAGTAGACTTACTCTGATAACCTTTCATACGTAGTGAGAGTGTTGGACAGAAAATACATCGGGATATGAGGCTTAATCTTCCGTTTCCGCAGGTCATATTTTGGTTCACATGGCTTAAGGTCTTGTGTACTGACATCTGTAAGTGGTGTAGAGTCTATGTGTTCAACCATTTCAGAGCACTGGATATCTAACATATCCAGGTCTCCAGCAGGCTGTGACTGGTTACCATCAGTCACTTCACACATTTTTTGGACACCTTGCAAATCCAAATGCTGAGACGACTCGATGATGGAACTACGTTCACTTGCAATATGAGAAAATGAGTCAGGAACTGAGATGGGTTCAAGGACGTCATTGACAGTGACGACAAACTCACCCCCAGAACAGCTCTGAGCATTATCAACTTCTAGATTATGTGGACAGGCTGTGTCCAACGCTGCATTCGACTCCGATTCCATGAAGTAGCTATCCGCTGGCTGAACTTCCATAGAACTGGATATATTGTTAGGTGGAGATGGTAGTGGTATTTCATCTACAAAACAAAAGGTAATTTCCAGACATTCTAATAAAATCTGTTAGGGAAACCCTATGAAATAATCTTAGCGGGAGGACCTATATTGATATGAATACGCAGCAACCACTGAGTGATAGCTGTGACTAACGACAACTAGCCTCCACCTATACTGAAATCACAAACTATCAACTCAAACGAGTTAACAAATGACAGATCATTCGCGTTAAAACTAAGTCAAACTTAATCATTCAATAAACGAAACACCCCAAAAGATATCGCCAAAGAATAACAACCTCACTAACAGAATTTCTTAAAAAACCACAGCTGAGAAACAAATTTTATTGCCAAAATGTACAAGGTTTAAAAATACAGCTGAAAATTACACTCAGCGCTTTGTAGACTGATGTTACTTGACCTAAACGGAAAGTGTACACGTAGGTTCAGATGTAAATCAACACTCAAGAAGATAAAAAAAGTCGATCTGTCATGAAACCTCAAGGGCGCAGATACAAAGTACTGAATGGTTTGTATGTATAGCAGTTTACTTAATTGTTAGAGGGAACTGACAATTTCATGAGTAGATAGGTCCAAAACTGTCAACGGAGGGACTAAGCCTTACCTATATTCACACTTTTGGATGGGTGCAGTGACTGTGGCGTTCGTTTTTGAGATTTCATATTACTCACTTGTCGTTCACTTTTAATATCCTCACTGTGGCGACGCTTAGCCTCACCGGCAGAATGATTAGTTCTATGCGGACTTGAGTCGGAACCCGTTAGGCTACTATTACTGGATTGGTCACGCTTCAGGGAAATAGGCTTTCTAGAAACAGGAGATTGATTTTCGCTGTTTGATGATGAATTTGGACTAATATCAGAAGGATCATCACTATCACTTTGCTCTGAATGCTGTCTGTAACCCATTTTTGGTTGGGTCTTACGATAAACATCTTCAAGCGTACCAGTAATACGTGAAGTCAATTTCTGCGTCTGAACGTATTGCACACCATCAGATTCCCGCTTAACATCAGAATCTACTTTTACTGTAAGGCTTTTGACGACAGGCCGATTAACACTATTTTTAGTGCTGTTCTTGCTTTTCTTACCAAACGAAGTATGTTCGCTTTTGTCGCATACTTTCTTTTCAGGAGTGCCTGAACGATAAAATCTCTTTGTTTCTTCCACGACGCGTGAATCTTTATGGTCAACTTTTTTATGAGTAGGGAATTTTTTTCTGTTTGATTCCCGTTTTCCCATGCTTTCAGCAGCTTCTGATTTTCTCTTATGATCAATACTATATTTTCTACCAGCTTTAAAATGACCATGATCAGTAGATGAATGATGACGTTCTTTAGAGTTCTGATACGACCGCGATCTGTGGCGAGTACGGCTAGAGCGGTGCATCGAATTTGACGAGCTGGACGAGTGACGACGTCGTGAGTGACGGTGTCCACTGGACCTTCTGGAACGAGAGCGTCTGTGAGACCTAGGATATTTGTGGGAATGTGATCTTGATCGACGACGACCATTTTTGCCCTTCGGCGTCTCCTCGTTTTGTTGAGACTGATTAGCTACAGCTGGATTAGCTATCAACGGAGTAGCAATCATTTGCGCAGATCTAAACTTCTGAGGATTGACAAACTGCATTCCAGCAGTCGGGGGTATCGACGCCTGAACAAGTGTAGGGTCGGTTGCATGAGCATGGATTAAATTTCGAGTAGCGACAATCGGAACGGAGTGATGGAGTGGTTGAATATTTAGACTCATTAAGTTTGGTATTGGAGAGCTTTTCAATGACAAATTTGTTCCAGGTATATGTGCTTTATTCACAAAATTATTAGTAGATACCATGGACTTCTCAGCTGTACCAGATGAAACTAACTGTCCAACACTGACCACAGAAGCAACGGACTGAAGGTCACTGGATTCAGATGTAACAGAATGAATGTGTGACTGTAAATTTTTGGTGTGATCTGAAGTGGAACTTAGAGTCTCACTTTCTTTAGTTGGTAGAAACAAATCGGTCTTGACCTCGGTAGCTGGTAGTTTGTTTTTTGCGGGTAAGACACCGACAGGAAGTTGAAAAGGTTTTGACCTTTTCATCATCGCTTGCAGTTTAGGCATGACTTTCGGCTCGTCAACTTTTACATCTTTAGATGATTCGAAAATCCCAGATGATTCTGTAGGTATATCTGAACCTGATAAAGATTTGGCAGACTTTCGCATACTAAACTTTAGAGGTCCTAAGGACTCCATTGTGTCAGATTTCTGGAGATTAGGAGACAAACGAGGATATAACGGCGGTCCTTTATCTTCTACATTTACGATTGTTAAATTGAGGTTTGGTAGAGGAATGTCAGAAGCTTCTATCTTGTCAGTCGGTGGTAATGGGATATTACATACATCACTGACACTCTTTGGTATATCATCACTAATTGGCCCTTAAAAATTAATAAATTATGGATTTCGCTACAAATATCACATACTTGGTAATGGAATAGAAGATAAATCAAGCGACGGAGAACAATCTTCTAACTCGCTAAATATGATTTCCACTTATAAAGATGAACGAACTTACTCCGTTGGTGAAGCAGGGTCATACTCCATCAAGATGTAACAGCTGTCTTAAACTGATGCGTCACAATCCTGCCAATACACAACCAAGGACGTTCAATGCCGTATTTAAGCGCTCAGTTATACCTGTGCGAGTTAAAACAATAAAGTACTGCAGTTATTAGAATGGTAGGCTAACTTGTAATTTTTATCCTCCAGACCGATCATGAGCATGTGTCCCTGATTAATAGTGCAAAAAAGACTTCGTCAGACATGATGAACACAGTTATACTATACATAATAAATGGGCAATGGATGGTTGGTACGAGAACAAATTACAGTTCACGTTATGATGAAAAGCTGTCTCCTTGAAGTTAATGCGTACTAGTTAAAAGTATAGTTTTCTTGGACTAATTCCTGTTTTTCGGTCAAACACGAAACACGGCAATCTACTTATCAGAAACTAGTAACTGGGAATAACAACTGGCACATAATTTAGAAAATTTGAGCGATAATAATTGGTGCGATGTGTATAAGAGCCTTGATGCTTTTGGTAACAATATTAAGGATATTTCAAATATCTTCTACCTACTAAGTAAATACTGGTAATCCCAAACCACCGGCTATAATCACCAAAATTTAGAATGAATTTGTGAGAAGTGAGTTATGCATAAGGATTCTAACGCCATTCTGAAAAAACAACTTCCCATAGAAACAGCTCATCAGAAACTTTGATTCAAACATTCAAAACTCTGGACAGGGAGTAAAAGGGTCTTCATATAAAATAGTTATAATGCAACATGGTTGAAACGGTGTTGCTTCAGAAGTAAAAAGGATGGTGATTCTTTCGACAACGGGGTCAACGACGCCATTCCGTAGGGAAATAACTCGTTGAAAACACTATCCAGAGTAAAACCAACGCAAAACCTTTGTCGACAGGCAATCAAGTCAAAATTTTCAATACGAGCGTCAAACCAATTCAAGTGAATGGAGCGGAAACTTGGAGAACTATAAACACCAGTGTCCAAAAAACGCAGATGCTTGTTCAAATTTGTCTACAAAAGATACTCCGGATCTGTTGGTTAGATCCGATCAGCAATAACCTACTGTGGGAGAGAACAAACCAGATTCTAGCTGAGGAAAAAAATAGAAAAATGTTGATGGAAACGGATTGAACAGACATATCCACGTGCACTTTAGTACATCAAACCATGATCAAGGATAATACTGCATCGGAGATTGCAGGCAGACTTAGAAAAATGAATACCAATTATAAAGTACTGGATGGGAAGATCCAGTATAAAGTTGTTTGTAGAAATCTGATTGGCGTCCTGTTCTCTACTAGAACAGCCAACTATAAAGCGATTCTGATTGCTCGCCTACACAAATCTAAGTAACAGGCACAAGCAGAAGTGTAAAAAGGAAAGAGGCGAACAGATATTGCGCATCAAAATCAAAATTAATCAGCTTTAGTTCAAACAATGAATGCTGATCTCAAATAACACTGTAGTTCATGATTATGCCAGTTTACAGGTAAACCCAAATAGTTATAAATGCTATCATTTTACTGCGATAGGCTACACAATTAGATCAATCATAGGAGTCTGTTTCTGACAGCATTGTCATGCCGTTTCACCGACAGGATTAGCCTGCTACAGCCACGTGTTTAAAAAGTGATTATAAATGGTATAGTTGCACTACGAAATTCTCGGATTGTGTGCTTAATTCAGGAAAGCGTCCGTTGAAAGGCGCATGGTATAAAATGCAGCACTGATGAGCGCGTTCGTAAGGCACTATGGTTGTTCATTGCTGATAAGGTACTGAGAAAGAACAAAAGAGAGAAAGAAGAAGACGAGGTACTCGGATACGTGACTGCAGCATTGTTTGAACACCAATGAGGAAGCCGACGAAGCAAGAATAATTAGTTGTGATACGTATCTACGCAAACAGAAGAGAATTTGAAGTAAAGAGCTGGATGTCGGTACACTGGAGCTGAAAATTCAAAAAGAAGGATAAAGTTATTGAAAGACATTGATAATCATACTATTTATTTTCAACCTTTCTTCTGTTAAATGCCAACCTCCAAGTCATAGTGTAAGTGCCTGAGTAGGCATGTTACGTGTCGTCTTGCATATTAATTGAACATGAGTCTCAGAATTAGCAAGCGTAAAAGAGCGTTCTCACTATCACTGATTAGCTCCTCATCAACCAACACTAGTTTCCTTGGTGACTGGATCGAAAGAATATAGCCCTAGGTTACTTAAGGAAACATTTGACTCCACAGATGAAATTGATTTCATACTAGAAGACGGTACTAAACTGAAAAGGCTGTGAATATTTGCACTTAACGGATTATCACTCATTGACGATTTGAAAAGATTAGGAGCCCAAAAAGAAGTGAGATCAAGACCAAAATGAACCTTCTGTGTGGCTAATTCCCGGATGGCGATACCTCCGAAAAGAGTGATGCCAAGGTCAACATGTCTGAACCCTACCGTAGTTATGATTATCTTTGTGTCATTTGCACACATGCTTAGAGCTATATGTAGAGATAAACGGACAAGATCCAAGAGCTACAGTTAGAAGTATTATTGTCCCTCAGCAATAATAATAAAAGTGTAATGTGTGAAAATCGCCCGTTGGAGTACCAGGAACAGAAGCAGCTGTCCGGTCAAGTTCGTCTATACCCTGAAGATGGTTAAATTTTACTAGGTGAAAGTAGAACTTAGTCTCATAGCAGTATACGTTGAAGAGTTTCGTGTATCTTTTGTAGACTATGAAAACGTTAGGAAGGAACTACAGGACAACTCACTCGATAAGAATCTATTCAGCGTGTTTGTGACACTTGATTTAATGCAATATGCGAGAAATTCTGTGAAGGATAGTCGAGAAATACATGCAAGTATTGTGAATGCTATATTTAGGTCATGTTAAAAATAGAGGAAAGACTAGAACGATATGGGCAAAGGTGGATCATTCTAGGTGTTGTAATTATTTAATCTGACTAAGTGACTAAACCTGGAAAGAACTGCTGTTTTGATATTCATCATCAACCAGCTTCCTTTAGGCTATTTAGAAAAAAGCAACGAAAACAAACGGACGGATGTTTCGGAGAGCAAGATCAGGCGAGGTATTTATGGATCTGTAAAATATACAAAAACTATAAATTTTGATTGTGTGTACGCGAATGACTTCGATACAATTCAATAATAGAATTCCCAGAGTTTGTTTGTAAGAAATCTCAGACGATCTTGTTTTTGGTATAAGAGCCTAGTGATATATCAAAGCAATCGGAAGTGGCCTTATGAGACCATTGAATGACCACCATAAAATGTCGTTGTAAACGAATATAAACAAATGGCTAAGAAACTGTGAGGTGGTACATGTATAGTGAGTATTAGTACATATCGATAAATAGCAAAGAAGGCTTTCTTTTCTTCTCTGGCCTTTCCGACCAAGTGGTCAATTTAGAAGGAGTGACGGGATCGCAACCATATTTCGGATACCGCACACCATAACACTTAGTTTTGATCTTTTAATGATCTACAGGTAGATATTGGAGCTAGTTCAAAATTGCGATTATGATTTCAAACATGAGAGCAACGTCAAAATCACTGATTATTTAACTGTAATTATATTCACATGCAAACACAAGATCTCTGAAGCTGAAAATACATAAAATGTGAAAATAGAGGTGATTAGGGTCCGACGTTGGATTACTGAATCTATAAAACATGGGTTGATCACATGGGAGAGGTAACACTAGGTGTACGAATGACTTCTATATTAAATGTTGTATTCTGTTACCGTGTCTGAATTAGTGATTCCCTAAAAGACACACCAGTATCATTATAGGATTAGCCACCATCTACAATAACGCGAGTTCAACGTAGGATCTTACTGATTAGGTTGACACATCATGTAAATATCATAGTTTCAGATTACGTCTAGTATTCTAGCATCAGGTGTAAGTGCCCCAACCTAGAGCTGAAGACTACAACTCCATTATAGACTACAAGCAGCAGTAACCAAAGATATGGATGGATCGAGTTTTTCTCCAGCCATCGTATTTCCTGGTCAGAAATCGTTTCTTTCTGACGTTAGGGTCTCTTGAGTTTTGACTGTGATTAACTAGTCTTTTTATCTAAACTCGGTGTTGCACCCTTGTAAGAACGCTTTGTGCACACATGTACTATGTGGGAAAAATTAAATCGTTGTAGGGAAATATATACGTGACGCGTAAACCGCTAAACTAGTAGAAAATAGACCTCATGAAATTCTAAAGGATTTAGATAAATACGTCATCCAAAATATGAAGTTCAAGTTTAACGGAAGAATTTGGTAGTGACAAACAAACCCACCAATTATAAGATTGCGCCCTCCCCATGATGATTCTCTTTGACTTTGTCTTTGACTTTTTTATCTGTCAATCAATCCCATATTCCTCATAAATAATATTAGATTCGTTCACACACTGGTCATGTTTGTCAGTTACTGTTCGGCTTGATTTTCATCATAAATATTTTCCTCCCTATTTCACGGTATAATGTTTTGTTTTTGTACAATAACTGTATCAGCTGACAATTTAGTGAAAAATTCACAATACCAAATGGCCAAATACTTTGATTCTGATGAAGAAAAGATAGACAGTAACCAAGTTAACTGAAAACTTCATCTGTAGGAAATATTAACCACGTACCATTCAACTAAAAATTTATATCATCAATAAACAAATGCAGTCCGTCATAAACAGATCTGAAGAAGGATTGGGATTCAGCCAAGATATTTATTTATTCTTAACAAAGTGAATGAATTATATCAGAAAAACATATTTCTTCAAAGGACCTGATTTCGGAGAATAAACACACCAGGTTCCTTGACAGTCACAGCGTCAAAGCTGTGTGTGGGGTATGTCTGAAGCGGATTTAGCTGTTTTGGTCACGCGCAACACAAATTGAGAAAGAAATTCCCTGATAACGAAAAGGAATGCCTTGATTATTCAGTTAGTAACAGCGAGAATACAGTATAAAGGAATGAGTATTTACCAACGAAAA